GGGGGGGCTGGTGGTGGTGGTAAAAGGAGCAGAGCAAATACTACCTCCCCTGAGAAATCCTCCCTGACTGCCCTCTGCCCAAACTAGCTGAAAAATGCCCTCCCGACCAACAAACGGGACTTGTGAAACCTGTCTTGATTCGCTGGGCACAGAGCTGCCCCCCACCCGGAAGGCCTCAACATTCAGTGGGTGATTGGATAAATAACGCCTTAATCCTTAAGTCCACCGCTTCATTTCCTGGCCCAACAGCCTTGCAAGAGAGGGATTATCATCCACATTTTACAGAAGACGAAATAGAGGTGCAGAGAAAGAGGACGCTTCCTTTCCTCACATCGTGTGCACTCGGTTGCGATTTGAACCTGGGTTTTCTGGCTTCAGACACCTAGAAGTCGGAACAGACGCCTGGCGTTCTGCCACTGCGCCACTGTGCCCAACTTCATTGGGCGGAACAGAGTCACGTGGTTACGCCCAGCTGCAAGGGTTTCTTGGAAATGTCCTATTTTCAAGGGGGAAAAAAAACTCAAACAAAAAAAGGAGCTCTGGTGGCGTAGTGCCTCAGGCATTGGACTGCTAACCAGCAGGCTAGCGGTTGCAACTCACCAGCTACTCCCTGGAAGGAAGATTGGGCAATCTACTTTCGTAGAGATACTGTCTCCGGGTTTCATTGGTCAGAACAGAGTCACGTGTTATCTAGCTGCAAGGGATCATGGGAAATGTAGTCCTGTGTTTTTCAGGGGCAAAGGGCCTTTTGTTCAGGGAATGCTCAGTCAGCGAGGATCGGTTACGTTTGGCTCCCATGGCCTCCTGCTCAGACCTAGCTGCGTCTATGATCTTCTTCACATCCATTCCCCTTGCTCTCTCGGCTCCAGCCACCCTGACCTCCTTGCCCTGAGTATGCTAACATTATGCCCACCTTAGGGTGTTTGCGCAGACCTTTCCTCTGTCAGGAACACACCTCCCTCCAGCATTTCATATTGTTCGCTACCTCACACTGTTTACCTCGGAACGTTTGAAGATTTTATTCGGGGCGGGGTGCCGGAATATTTTTTATGTACATTATTTTTGTTGTTGCAGATATACACAGCAGAATGTACAATTCAACAGTTTATCCGTACAATACAGTGGTTTTATTAGATTTTCAAGTTGTGCAACCATGCTCACCGTCCATTTCCGAACTGTCCCCCCCTTTAACATAAGTCACTGCCCCCTAAACTTCCCGCGTAACCTTTCCATTTGTTGTTGTCACTTTGGTTCCCTATCGATTGTTTGTTCAAAGACGGGAAATGCTCCACGCAGACCTTCGTTAACGATTAAACGGTTTGGTTTAAAGAAGACTTCAGGGTGTATTTTTGCTTTACGTTTA